CAAACAAACAAACAAACAATCCCTCTAACAATACGTTAATACTGTTACGACAGCGGAAGTCACGCGACGCTAGGAGCATGCTCGCTGAAGTTTCTAGAAGGATCGTAACTTAACGGGCAACCTCACGAATGTCCTAGCGTTTGCTAGACGCCCTCTTTTTTAGTATATAAGCTGGATACAGATTGAAGAGAAATAATTGAGAATCGAGTCAAGCAAGCATTAGGCACCTTAAGTAAAGTGTGTGAATCGCTGTGAATTATAGAGTGTTTTTATAAAAGTAGTTAAGTTTAAAGTGACTGTGGAAATTAAGTGTATTACGAAGTTTGTAACGAGAATCAATAAACTAGTTTTAATTAAGAAAAGACTTGTATCGCTGAAGTTTCTCGGAAATAATTTTTACGGGAGATTATCAAACAAGCAGATAAGCAACAAATTGGTGTCAGAGAGTGGGACCGATAAAAAAAAGATGGAAACGAGAAGTGCCAAATCAAACTACGACTTAGCAGATTTGATGGCAGCAATACAAGAACAGCAACAGAAACAAAAAAAACAAGAAAAAAGACTACAGCAGTGGCAAAAAACCCTGCAACAGTGGCAGCTCGAACAGCAAAATAAACAAGAGAGATTATAGCAGCTGTTGGAGAAAAAGGAAAGGAAACAAGAAGAACGAGAAAATAAACAATAAGAGAGACTACATCAGTGGCAAGAAAACCAGCACCAGTGGCAACTGGAACAAGAAAAGAAACAGGAAGAAAGTCTCCAACAGTTGAGAGAAAGCCAGCATACACAAATGGAAAATATTAGTAAATTTCAAAGTTAATTAAATACATTAAAGGACGATTTACTGTCTTTTACACAGGGAGGATATATTAACCACGGACCTAATTAGCCCCAGACAACAGGAAGCCTCTTCCAGACCCCGCAGCTAAACCCTAATGCAAACATCTTCAGTCCTGCCAGAAGTCACATTCCAGGCATGAGTGTCGGTAATAGGGGTGATCTAGTACGAAGGAAGCCACAGGAATTCGATGGGAAGACACCGTGGGAAGCATATAGAGCACAATTTGAGCTCCTGGCAGAAATGAATGGATGGACAGAGGAGCAGAAAGCAGTGTATCTGGCAACGAGCCTGAAGGGACAATCACTGGAAATACTTGGA